TTAATGAAACAGAATGTGGTGGTAGTGATGGTTCATAACTTCCAAGATTAAGGCATAAAAGACATTGTGTCTTCCCTTTGTTCTCTCTTTCCCTTGAATCATGCACTCTGGGGGATGCCAGCTGCCATGTGGTAAGGACATTCAAGCACAGCTCTGTGGAGAGGTCCATGTGGCAAGGATCTGAGACCTGCCAACAGCAAGCAAGGAAGTGAGGCCACCTCCCAACAACCATATGAGAGCTGGACTAGGTGAGAGTTTATCCCAATTTATGTAAGGATTTTTAAACAAAACATTTGAGAGCAAGAATTGCACTCAGTTGCACTCAATAATATAGCAAACCAGCTCTGGCTTTGTTTAGAGCCTAGACTTGGGCCCTCATCCTTGCTGTAGACCTTCTGCAAAGGTTTTCGTCTCCCACAGCTTTATGCTCAGTCGCAGTGCACAAATGCTACAACACCTGCAGTCTCACAGCCAGCCCACTCCCATGTCCAGTGACTCAGAGTTAAGAGAGCCTTACTCTTGCAGCTCTGGCCAAGTGATGACCAACTGCTTTGCATGAATTAGAAATTAAAAAAACCAAACACCTTCAGCCAGCTATGCATAAGGAACCGAGTCTCCACCTTGAACAGCAAGCCTCCCGTCCTTTAGTAGTCCTGTCTACTCCAAACCCCCAAGGTTTCCCATAGCCTCCAGCAGCCTTCTTTCAAGGACTTGTGGGGCCTGTGATGAGCACTGCAAGTTAAACAGGAGCATGGGCCACACTCAGGGACTCTAGCTCTAAGTCTGTCATTCTGTTTCTGAGAGGGGTAGGGCTGCACAGTTAGCGATGGGGCTGGCAGGTAAAGGGATGACCAGGTGACAGGCACACTGGCCCAAGGATAAATCTGGCCCTACTAGCATCATGTTGTAATCACTATAGAGTAGAACCATGGATAAGGCTGAGTATGGTGGCTCATGCCTATAATCCTAGTACTCTGGGAGGCCGAAACAGGAGGATTGCTTGAGCTCAGGAAACCAGCCTGAGCAAGAGTGAGACCCCTGTGTCTACTAAAAATAGAAAAATTAGCTGGGCATTGTGGAGTGCCTGTAGTCCGAGCTACTTGGGAGGCTGAGGCAGGAGGATCACTTGAGCCTAGGAGTTAGAGATTGCAGTGAGCTATGATGATGCCACTGCACTCTAACCAGGGCGACAGAGTGAGACTCTTGTCTCAAAAAACAAAGGGAACTGAACCCTCCTCCTCACTCCCCCCTTCATATAAAAAATTTTTATAAAAAGAACTATGGATAATACAGTGTGACAGACCTCAAGAGAGCAAATGATTTACACCTCTCCTGTCATGCCTACAGAGTAATGTCTCCAAGGTCACACATCAGATAAATATGGGCACAGGAACTCATTCCTTATGCTTGATGACCTTGTTTTCCCACTCCCGAATGCCACCAACAAAAGAGGGGCTGACCATAGAGGGAGGAATGGCAGACTTTCCACAGATCACATTCTTACCCAGGATCAGGTCTCAC